ATTTCGAATCCTATAGCCATATTAATCATTCCAGAATTACGTCATTTGACAGGTTGCTGAGGGGCAAACATTGCATTTTGTCAAGATTTGTCATATGAAACCAGAATTAGTGGGATCGTTTTCCTTGGAATCCGAGTTGAAATCCGAAAGAATTTCATAATTTTGTTGCTCATCAAAGGTAACCTAACAGATAGTTTGTGTGCCCCTCAAGAAACCATGTCAGTTCAAACTGGTAACTATGAATAATTGAATTGGATTACGTATAAGTTTCAGTTTGAAATGACAATTACTTATAATTGTCAGTTCAAATAGACAATTATACATAAAAACTTACAAAGGGTGGCCATTTTGACGCATCGCACGTTTGCAGTAGAGTTGATTGTTAAAGTTGATGCCGTTTGGTGTTCAGAGATATGGATGAACTTTTGAAATTCTATTTCACAAATGGTTTTCAATAGGTAACTAAATCATAATGTTATCGCATTAGTGAGAGGCATTTGAGGAGGAACTTAGACAGCTAAATCTACTCGGACACAGATATATTGACTGTTGTGCAGTTTCTGGATGAAAATTTGAAGAACTATTAGCCAGTTGAATGAATATTAATGAATGCACCTGACATGCTCATATTGTCATGCTCAGCAGAGAATGGATTGCCCACAAAGATGAGAGCTAAAATTTTACAAGGAGTTCTTGGAAATATACAAGTACCTAAAACATTATCTTCGATTTCACTTCCGTCTATATTTCGCATATATTTTTAATGAAGGAATCTGATATAAACAGAAATCATTCGAATAATTCGAAAATGACAGAGTTGACGGTTCCTACAATTGACATGGCGGACAGGACTAAACGACTGAAGGTTGAGCTTCGCTAGACCAAGACAAAGACCAAGACTGATCAGTCTTGGTCTTGGTTTCGAAAAATAAATCTAGCATTGGTCTTCGTATTGGTCTTGATGTTTCAAGACCAAGACGAGACTGGCCCAGTCTTGGTCTTGCTCTTGATAGTCTTGGTCTTGGATCAAAATGCGTCTAGAAATTTGAATTATTCAATTCAAATATCCAACAGTTTATATGCAAAGAAAAGGTATTTCGTATTTCTCAGTCTTTGAAATTTTCACTTTGTGCGTATAAAGTAAGCGAAATTTTCTCCTTTTACCATAAGAATAAAATTTTTGAGAAACCTTGAATAAACATCAAATGAGACCCAAACAGCAGACAGGCCGACGCCTGACATTCCAGAAAAAAGGTTCAAAAGGGTCGGAACTGTCAACAACGCATTATCAAAATATTTAAAAAAATTTCAAATTCGAACCAAATAACTTTTGTATTTAAATTTGTTCTTATCCTCAATAGGAGGAGGTATGGACCACTGTGACCTTACAACATACACATATTTGTTGTGAACTTCAAAACTGCAATACTGAATTTGAAAAATGAATTTCGGATTTTGAGTGAACAAAAATTAAAAACCTACCATATGACAAATGAAGAACTTAATATTGAGTAGATTCAAATTCATTATTTTTCTCTCTTGGGAGAGAGTCTTGGCCTTGGTCTTGATCGTGGTCTTGTATCAAGATCAAAGCAAGACCAAGACTGGACTCTTGGTCTCGCGAAGCCCTAACTGAAGGTGTGTTGAATAAACTGTGTTGCCATGGTAACGTGTTTAAGAAACTGTGTTGCCATATGGTAACGTGCTCCATTTTTTGAATAAATCACAGCTCGTCATTCCGTGATTAATCGATCATTCAGCGTGTTACATATCTGTGCGCTTAATATCATATTAGTTATGTGAGTAGAAAAAGTATACAAAGTATAGTTCGTAATGCGTGTTGTGAAGCATTATCCCAGCGAGCACAAAAACATCTCAGAGATGTTGAAAGTACGAGATTCCGAGACATTGAACCTCCACTGCGATGTTCTGTTCACACATGAATAGAACCATTATAGAACAGCCAATGTCCGCCGCAGGCGGCAATTATCGAGATGTCCTTGATATGTCACAAAACTACCTCCTCCATAGTTCTTTTTAAAGCCTTTTCATGGACACAACAGAACATTTTCAACGCCTGAAGCCCTTTGTCAAAATGAACTTTTGCATTAGGATTCCATTTCCCTTGGATGAAAAAATGCATTAAAAATAGATTGAACATAAAAATATTTTCTTGATATGAAATTACCTTCTTAATCGGTTTCTGAGTAGTGCTTAATACACACAGACATATAATTGGAAATAGGTTTCCCAATTTTTGAAATGTTCTCCACAATGCATAATTTTGCAACTGCGGAGAAGCTGTGTATTGATGAATTCGTACTTTTATATATTGATTACACTGAGGCAGCGAACAACACATCTTGCATCTGATGGTCATTATTACAAACTACATAAAGTCTTCTAACACAATAAACTTCACCAAATTCCTTTCTGTTCGTAAGCAGCGTGATGTAAGCATGACACGCTGCAAACGCGAATGCCAATTGCGAACAAGAGGAACAAAATCGGAAACAAATCAGAATCCATCGTATTGTGACGTAAGCATGAGACGTTGTGGTGGAGTAAACAAAGAAAGGGCACAAAAGAACAAAAACAATACTTTCAATATCCTTCTGAGACCTCTTTGGGAAGTGCATATTACGCCTCAAAAAAACATCCTCATGCCCACATTTCTAAAACATCCCAAAACATCCTAGGGATACCTCTCAGTAGGCAAACAAAGAAATGCCACAGAAGAACAAAAACAATACTTCAATATCCTTCAAAGACCTCTTTGGTCAGTGCATATTACGTCTTAAAATCTTCATGCCAACATTTTCAAAACATCCCAAAACATCCCAGGGATGTTTGTGCTCGCTGGGATGCTTCTCACAACACTTGTTACGTGATATACTATCACAGTGTAACGAAGTTACAGTCATTTATTTTCAGTTGAACATTTCTTTCGTGATTACTTTCATTTTCATTTATTCATTTCATTCGTTTTCTGTAAAAGTTCAGAGCGGCTGATGAATAATTAAATAAAACCGGGCTAGATACTTTTTGCAAATTTGATTTGATTTATTTATTAATCAATTCCGCGGATATTAGATTTAAAACGCTCACACATATGATATGGCTTCGCATTCGATACGGAAATGCTCGCGCAGCGCGCTTCCCTCTCTCAGTCAAGAGTGGAGGCACGCGCTACGAAATTGAATCGCGAAGACAGGAGTTAGGCAGTTTACGCCGAGATCGACTACAGAGCGCTTGGGCCGCATTAGAAGACCGATACCGAGGAGAGGGAGATACCGAGAGGATACGAGAGGAACCGAACAGACCGGAGCTACCAGAGCCTGTATCATTGGCAAGGCAGTCAACAGCCAGACACCGACCGGAGAAGAAGCACCGCAGTACAACCGAGCACCGAAGACCGAGTTGCATAGCAAGCAAGCAGTTGGGTGAGAGTACTGAGATATACGATTTTATAAATATAAAGTATTGCATTATAATATATAATTATATTATGAGTTAGTGTTTTCTTGGTAGAATATGTCGATCTCTCTTACTCTTCAAGAACGGTGACTCATCGACTTGAATAGTGGAAAGCTGCTTAGCTGAAGTGTACCTTCCTGTGAAAACGGTGACTCATCGAGTCACAGTGGGGTGCATTGAATTCTTCACGAAAACGGTGGCTCATCGAGTCGTGAAGTATTCCCCAGCATAGCGAACCTGTCCCCTGGTGGCTCATCAAGGGTGAGGTTACGACTCACAGGGAATTTCGGGATAACAAAGGTGACTCATCTAGTTATCCATAAATTCATAGGATGCACTATAGTAGGTTGCTTTGCTTGGTGTTGAGCTTTTTACTAGATCTGCTTGCTTTTCTCGCTTGTTCTCACTAGTTTTTGAGCTGGAATGTACTATCTGCTAAGTCGATGCTCACTGCCGGCATCCGATTTTTTTTAACGCGATTTATCGTGAGAGGGTCACTCCGGTTTGATCATGATAATAACTAGAGCGACGGAACGCGTGGGTTGGGATTTTAAGGGTTTTAACTGATTAGGTTGAATTATTGTAAATAGATGTGTAAATAAATGTACAAACTTGTTGAGTGATTTGGAATAAATTGAATTGTTTGATCAAAACGTTATTTCATTCAGAGCAGCGTGTAATCCGGGATAAGGGAAGTTAATTGAATTAGTAGCGTCATTGTAACACATATTGAATCATAGAACCCTGGATTACCGATTCTTCGCTGGAAGCTGCCCGGTGCAAAGTGGACCTACCACTATAATATAGGTGGCGCCCGAGTTATTTCTTTGGATATTTAAACAACCCGAACTGAAGTGCCAAATAACCTATCTCCAGGTAGATATCGTTACAACAGATAAGGGAATATTACAGACTATTTCCTTAACTGTGATATTATTAACGGTAGGGTCGGTGGGTGTCGCACCCTTTGCTCGATTTCGTGAATATTTTCTTTTTCGTGTCCGTCCAACGCTTTCGAAGCTTCTGCCACAATGTAACCGTTCCAAACATAAACCGTTAACCGCGATTCCGATCACAATAATCCGCACTCATAAACGATTTGATTTACGTTTCACTCAACCAGGACCGTAAATAGTTTGCGAGTTGTGCAGGCACAAATGCCAAAGCTGGCCGAAAACGCTTTGGCCATAATTCCTTCATGTGCTTTTAGCTGTATGTAAATGGGCCAACGCGAATGTGAATTTCCAAGCCGACATGGGATCGGATAGTTTGAAATAGTTTGTAATGAGGCTTTGACTGTTATTACATGTGATTTAGTCGGATTATAGTGAGATGATGGGTTTAGCTGATTGAAAATAGCCTATAGTATTAAATCACTAAATCTGTAGAAGTGTTTAGGAACCAGGTCAAATGAACTATATCTGTATGGTATTGTATTGACGGATCTGGAGGCAAGTTTTGAATAATTCTGAAGCCTTTCACTATTTATGATGCGCTAACTTATATTCAAAATATATCATTAACTACGACTTTGCTAGAATAAATAGATAAAATAGATTACTTTATAGAATTTTTGTGATATAGTTCTCTGTTATTTATTGTTATTTTGTTGAAATAGACAAATATCTTAATTTTTATGTATTAAGTATGTGTAAATAGAATATGTTAACCATGTTAATATTAGGCTTGCCTATTTGGAAATAAAGTTCTTCTTCTTCTTCTGATATTTAGGAAACTAACCAGAGATACTAGATTGGTGGTATGACCCTGTGGTGGTGAGACTTCTCTCCGACTTTGGTTCTGCTGCCCAATACATGATGTAAGTACCAAAAACCCATCATCTTGTTTCTGTTGTTCAGTCGTTTCATGTTTGATCTTGCTGGCACATTTTCATGTTTTCCCTATTCAATAAATTGTTTGTTATACTTTTGAAAAACGCATTTGTCTCTATTTCGGAATAAAAGTGGTTAGGTGATGAAATACTGAAAATTCTTTCGCCAAATAGCCAAGCGAGTAGTCCTAGATTCTCAAATGAGGTACAAGCGACATCTGAGTTGCGACACGTGGTGGAAGCGCCTTGCTCATTCCTACAGATCAACTCTTCATAGTAATTCAATTTAGTTCACTCTGATTTTTGAACAATTTTCGTCATTTCAACGTATTTTGTCACGTTTCATAAATCAATTTCACTCAGCCAACCCCCATTAATTTCAAAAAATATATTTTTTTATGATATTCAACATACTCGCAGAAATGTATACAGTGACGTCAATAAATGAGGGTTCACGAAACGAATTTCACTGCAAATAACGTTTTTCGGCCACCGTCCGGAAGGTGCTCATTTCCCGGACGCTTTATCTTTGAGAAAGTAGCATTTTTCCGGCCTAGTCCGGGAAGTATCACATCGTTGTTGTCACTGTAACCATGAAAATCTTGTTTCTTTAAGTTCTGGTGCCCACGAAAAGGGATATGCTGTAATGTTCTGAGAACATCGTGAGAGCTGAGAGAAATAAGGTAGGAATTGATGATCTTGAATTTCTGGAGGTTAAATGCCTCGGAGAACACCTCCCTTGGCAATGTGTTCCAGAGCCTCACTGTTTGTTGGAGGAACGAGTCTTTGGAAAGAGATGTTCTGCAGGTCTCCGAAGTGACCACGAAGGAATGCGAAAGCCTCAACTCGACGGGTTAATCTCGCGGGGACTGCCAAGGAAGGAACAATTATTGATATTTCAGAAGAGCATCGTCCATGGAAATATCTATAAAATAGAGCCAGATCGCCAACTTTACTACGGTGTTCCAGAAAAGTGACTGAGTTTGTGAGCGAGGCATCACCCACAAGACGAATTGCCCTCTTTTGGACAGAATCCAACAGTTTCAGGGTATGTTCGGGTGCTGCACTCCAAATATGGGAAAATCATTCCAGGACAGGTCGGATCTGTGCCTTATAGATCATAAACAGCTGACTGTAACTGAAATAGCTCCTGGCCCGACACAGAAAATCAAGTTTTTGGGATGCACTTTTAGCAGTTGATCTCACGTGATTTTCTCAAGAAAGGTTATTGCTGATAGTAATACAAAGCATCGAAATGGATGTCTTCAAAGGTATGATCACACCTGACAAGCTTATGTTGGGCACAGTGAGATCGGCTTTTCTAGAGAAAAGAAGGCATGCTTGTGTTTTGTTTGCATTGAAATCTACCAAGTCATTTGATCCCCATTCGAGAATTGTTGTCATGTTTATATTTATGTTGTCAACATTTCTCCCTCGTTCGTTCCTGATTTGCCTGGCTGGTATTGGAGCCCTGGAAGAGAAGGCGGTATGGAGGGTACTAGCTGTGCTGCGAAGCTGTGTACTGGACATGAAGTTGCTTCCAACAAATCGTTGATATGGAGTAGAAAAAGTGTTGGTGCTAGAATTGATCCTTGCGGAACACCATCATTTATGATAAGAGAGTCAGGCAGGTCAATGCTGTCAATGAATATCTTGCAGAAATCACAGCCTGGGGAACAAACAACCTAGTTGAATTCAACGCCACCAAAACTCAAGCCTGCATTTTCTCTAAAAAGGCGGAACTCAGGATGCCCGATATTGTAATGTCTGGCTCCACCATCCCCACCAAGCCCACCATATCTATGCTCGGTATTTCCATCAGCAACACTCTTTCATGGGATAATCATGTCAGATCCATCGCAAAAGCTGCTTCACAAAAACTCGGATTCTTGTTCCGTGCGAAAAGCTACTTCACACCTCAACAGCTTCTCACGATCTACAAAGCGCAGATACGGCCTGTTCTAGAATACTGTTCCCACATATGGGGTTCAGCACCAAAACATAGGCTGATGCTCTTAGATTCCATCCAGAGATGAGCCATTCGCCTGGTGGGTGACGCCACACTCACTCATTCTTTGACATCATTGGAACACCGTAGAAAGGTCGGCGACCTTTCACTTTTCTATCGATACTTCCACGGGAAATTTTCTTCGGAAATCTCTGCTATCATCCCTTCACTAGCAATACCAATTAGACGAACTAGACAAGCCGTCAGCACATCCTTTCGTTGTCAACCTCGAAAGATGTTGGCTAGATTTGCTTGATCTTCTTCGATATGGTGGACTGTATTACTTGTGATATTAAATGAATGATGAATGCTTAGATGAATGCTCAAATGTGTACTTTTATCAGAATGAAAATCCAATTAGTTGTCAACAATTTTTATATGTGTATGTCAAGTCTGATACATAACAACGTACATAGCAACGAACAAAAATAATGATACACAGCTACTATTCAAATATGGTTCTCGGGCGAGCGAATAGTATTCAATTCAACCACATACAGGGTATTATTTCAATATACAGAATACCCACAATTGTCCATACTCCCCCGCGTTGAACGATTGTAGCGTTCAAAATAACAACGGCACATCTAATAACGTTAGCAGTAGATTTAGTCTCTGGTTTGCAGCGGCAACGGCAACGGACACACTTTCGATACTGCTCTTTTCAACGTCCCGTGTGGCGTTTTGATAGTCACTACTCTAACAATGTTGTCCCCTCCGGGATGTACTTGTATAATTCGACCTAGTAACCATTTGCAGGGTGGTAAGTTGTCCTGTTTTATAAGGACCAAAGTTCCTACAGTCAGCTGATTGTCACTTTGCTTCCATTTATATCTTTGTTGCAGGTTAGAAAGATAAAATTTCGACCATTGTTTCCAAAAACTTTGTTGAACTTGTTGCAGTAATTGGAATCTGGATAGTTGGTTCAATTTCATATCTTCCTCAAACATTGGATCAGGTGCAGTAATGAGCGGCTTGCCAATCAGGAAGTGTGAGGGAGTGAAGGGATTCATATCATTGGGATCGGATGACATTGGATATAAGGGTCGGGAGTTTAATGTTGCCTCTATCTGCACAAGAATGGTCACAAATTCTTCATATGTGAAAATAGTATTCATCATAACTCTGCAGAGATGATGCTTAACACCCTTTATATTGGATTCCCATAATCCACCGAAATTTGGTGGGTTTGGTGGAATAAAATGCCATACAATACCATTTTCACCACAATTGCTGACTATTTCATCATGAGAATTGCTAAGGAATTCATAAAGAATTTTGGGGCTCCAATAAAGTTGGATCCATTGTCTGAATATAAATGGGCTGGCTTGCCCCGTCTTGCTGCAAACCTTCTTAAAGTTGCAATGAAAGATTCAGTGCTGAGAGAAGTTACTAACTCGAGATGAATAGCCTTGCTTTCGAAGCAAATGAATAAGCAAATATAAGCTTTGTAAGTCTTACAACCTCTCCCTTTTCGGTCCTTTAAAATGAAAGGTCCAGCATAATCAACCCCTGTTCTAGTAAAAGGAGAGGAAATATTGACACGTGATTCTGGCAAATCTGACATAATGCTATTTATGTGTTTCGGCTTAAATCGAAAACATCTGATGCATTTTCTTACAACAGACTTTGCAACATTCATTCCCGAAGTTGGCCAATAGTTTTGTCTCACTGTAGCTAATAATAATTGAGGCCCCGCATGTTGCAATTTAGAATGTTCATGTTCAAAAATGAGCCTAGTTAGTATATGTTTGCCATCTAATAATAACGGATGTTTATTATTGAAATGCAGAGATGAATGTTTCAGTCTGCCTCCAACTCTAAGTAATCCATCTGTATCTATGAATGGCGTCAATGCTAATTGTTTAATACATCTCATGGCTAAAAATGGTGCACTAGCAGTGCCGTATGTCACTGTGTTTAACTGAAAAACTTGCAATGGTTCACTTGGATCTGTTCTCCAGAAGATTCGTTGAAGATGTCTATCTTCTGGATCAATGAGTATCTGGCGATACAGTTTTAATATGTCGGAAATTACGACTACTTGATGCTGTCTAAATCTCAGAAGTATTTGAAATATATTATTTTGAATTGCTGGACCAGCATATTGGATATTATTCAATGATTTTCCAGAACTTGTTATACTGGATGCATCAAAAACAACACGCAACTTTGTTGTTAAAGAATCTTCTCTAATGACACCATGATGTGGCAAAAAATAGCTTATTTGGGAGTGCAAAAGATCATCATTCAATGGTTCCATATGATCCAACAATTGATATTCATCCATAAATGACATGTACTGAACCTTCAAATTGTTATTGAATTGAAATCTCCTTTCTAAATGTAATAATCGTTTAATCGCCGAAGACTTTGCATCACCTAATTCAGATGGAGAATCTTTCAACGGTATCCTGACAATAAATTTACCAGTTGAATCTCGTCTTGTGTTATCAATGAAATGCTTTTCACAGAAGATATCCTCAGAAGAATAAACCTTATCATTTTTCTCTTCAATTATCCAAATTTTTTTAATATCATCATGCAGTGAGTCTTCCGTTGTAAAATAACAGTGCACTTGAGAAACCGGTTGTGCTATTACACCTGATACAATATAACCAAAAACTGTATTTTGCAATAATGGTAAATTCTTTCCCAAAAATATTCTTCCTTCAATCAATAATTCCCAGAACAA